AGCTGCTAAAGTTTTGTGGACATTAGTAAACATTCTGTGAAATATTGTAAAAGTTACTAGTATCAGGAACGTTGTAAATGTTTTGATACAAACCGACACATTTTCATGGTAAGCTGTGAAAGTTGGTAGGAAAGTCGACAAAATTGCCTGGAAACAGTAACTGTTGCGTGGATTGTCGTAAAAATACTTTTCAAAGTCCTAACACTTGCGTGTGAAGTCGAAGAAAAAAGGTTATAATTTGAAAAGGTTACATGCCATACAGGTGACCTTTTCTGGAAAGTTGTTTATAGTTGCCTTGAATGTCGTGAAGTCTGTGTGGAAAGTTGTTTATAGTTGCCTTGAATGTCGTGAAGTCTGTGTGGAAAGTTGTTTATAGTTGCCTTGAATGTCGTGAAGTCTGTGTGGAAAGTTGTTTATAGTTGCCTTGAATGTCGTGAAGTCTGTGTGGAAAGTTGTTTATAGTTGCCTTGAATGTCGTGAAGTCTGTGTGGAAAGTTGTTTATACATGTAGTTGCCTTGAATGTCGTGAAGTCTGTGTGGAAAGTTGAGTAGAAAATCGATGACAATGTCTAAAAGTTGCATGGAATATGTAAAAGTTGCGTCGAATGTCGTTAAAATTGCCTCGAAATTCGTAAAAGAACTAAATAGGTCGACAAATTCACCTCAAAAGTTGAAATATTGTCTGAAAACCGAAGACAAAATAAACATTGGATGGCAGTAGATGGTTGTACAGTTTGTTTGTGACGTCATCAAGGCTGTTTAGAAAGTCGATAACATTGTTGTAAAGTCTACCAATTGGCTGGAATGTCAAAAACATAATTAGAAATGTTAGAAAAAAATTACACAAAAGTTACCAGGAACGCCGTATAAGATTCATGGAAAGTCGTAAAAGTCACATGGAACGTTTTTAAAGTTGCATTGAAAATTGCAAAAAGTTGCCTGCGGGATGTCGTAAAATCTTGCTGAAAAATCGAAAATGTTATCTGGTAATTTATAAAAAGTGCTTGGAAAGTCGTAAAAGTTTCCTTGGAAAACCTTGAATGTTTTCCTAGAAAGTTCGAAAAAAAAATACAGTGAATGTCGAAAATGTGGCTGAAAGGTTAGCGGATTATTCGTAAAAGTTACATGTAAAGTCGAAAAAGTGTATCCAGACAACGCATTATGATATACATTGTATACGGAAAACAAATGCGGCCAAGAATCGATCATTTGATACGGGATGCTACAAATGACGGCAGTGTTATCAGCAAGATTACGATCAATGCTAATTAAGTAGTAATTAGATATTTTAGCAATGACATTCAGTTAGTGTTTCGTTAGTGTGCTGGGCTTACGTGGAGTTGATTCATTTGTACATTAAAATGTCATATAGTTTATTACATTCCATGATTTACTATGAACCTTATTGAATAATACACATCTATTCCTCATTCGGTATACTACTCTGTTTGTTAGAAGTTCAATATTGTAGAACACTGAGTTTACCTGTTTTAGTCATGTGATCACAGTACGAATGCTTGTATTTTGGGAAATCATATTTTTAGTGGGCCAGATGTACAATTCTGGGACGAAATTAAAGCAGTTGAAAAAAACGTATATATTATAATATTACAGTACATGAAATGGACTAATTGGGACATTTTTGTAGTCCCCGTTTCAGGCGCAGCCTGAAAGGCGGACTATTAATTTTTATTTCCAGTTTCCGTCTGTAACGTCTCTAACATTTTCTCAGAAATTCTGCAGCAGATATCGATGAAACTTGGCAGGGTGATGAACAAGTCTCTGCTGAACATGCACGTCATTTTTTTCCCAGATCTGAAAATTCTAAGTGGGTCTTTTCATAATTTTCATTCAAAACTACCTCTTCCAACACCACTGAGAGAACAACTGAGCATGCTCAGAATAAATAATTAGCTTAGATTGTAATGCTATGGGTTTTTAGTGATGTCATGACCTGGTTATGAATTTGATCTGAATTGGTGAGAGATGGGTGATCGTACCATTACCAATCTCAGTGGAAACTGTAGAGGAATGTGAGGGCTACATTTTGTTGGGAATTATAGTGGCGATACTGAAACAAACCCAGGTCCTGGTAATATACAAAGACCTGAATTTACAAAGAAGTGAAGTTGTTATTAAAGGTACATCAAAGTTTACTCAGATTTATGAATGCAGTTTCTTGAGCATGTATGAGACATAGTTTGGTTGCACTTGTGTACTCTAATATTTTGGACCCGGTCAATAAAAGTTTTCAGTTATCAAATTAAGGGAAATCACTTTATGATGAGTTGTACCCACAATTGTTGGCAGATGTTCCATGTATTATTTTAACATGAGTATTTTATAATTAGATGACGGGGACTGTGACATCCATGTCTTGTTATTTATTTATTTGAATTGACATTATTCATTTATTTGTACAAGTCAAGATTTTTTCGATGACTTCCTCCTTGTTTGTCAGTGTGAGTCTCGTCTGGTTTAGCGTAACACTTTATGGCTCAGACTCGTATGACTCTAGCACTGCGTACATGGACTGTGTTGGGGATTAGTGTCATAATACGGACAGATGATCCCCCACAGCCATGCACAGTGACCTTAAAGGGGACTGTGACATTCATGCCTTGTTTTTTATTAAAATGAATTTACGTGAATAATAATGAACCCCCAATAGCACCACATTGGATGAGGAGGGTGAAGCCGAACACATTACTGCGTCTAGACCCGTATTCAATATGATGATGATGATGTGTGTGTTGGGGGGTTACGGATCAACCAGTTACAACACAGCGTTTCAATAATACTATTATGATATATATTTAAGATGGATGTTATTCTGTTTATGATTTTTGTTCTTTATTACGGTTATTTATGGTTGGTGAGTTATTACATTTATGATTAAAAGTAAAAAAGAAAAAAAAACTTACATCCTAGATTAGGAAATCATTTGATATCCTGGATGAACAAATCATATAAAGGCAATACTAATGGTGAACTTGAAGTCTGAAAATGACTCACACTTGACGGACAACTTAAAGTCTGACAGAAAGGCTATACATTCAAATAAAAAATATTCAAGAAAATGAGGAACTACTAGTATAAATCTATTTTCGGGGGCGCCCCCGAGAATTCATTCTGTTAGTGCAAGACGGCGCCACCAACGTCGTGTTTACATTGAGCTGTTGCGCATGTGTAAGACCGGATTGAATGGGGATGAGATAGGGAATGATTTCAGATCGGAAAGTGGGAAAAGTGGCCTGGGGCCTGTATTTGATTTTATAGGTAATTCCATTGCACTTGGTGGCGTAGCAGCAAGCCTGAGTGATCAGTCGTTGTGAACAACTGCGGAACCTTGTCAACAACTGCTGGGAAAACACGATCGTTTTGAACTCTCCAAGACGGATCTCCGGGAAACTGTACGAGTAAGAGGGATTAATACGGTTACGTACGTACGTCTCAATATTGAAACCACTCAATTTTGGTTGCTCGTTTGTTTTCTCTTGAAGTATTAGAGGTATATTGAAGCCCCACATTCACATCTTATCGGTATTCAACGTCAATATTTTCAAGACAGACAGCCAGCCAGCGAGTAAGAGTATTTGTCATTCAAGAAGTGTTTTGAAATCTCTTCCTCGGGGCCGTTGATCAAAGGTGTTTCTCTGAATATTGCTGGTGTACGGTAAGTCACATATTATCGTCAAAAATATTTCTCAAATTTCATTATTATATTTTAGAGTAGTTCCCACTCAGTGTGCGTTATAAGTATTTGCTTAGCAACGGTGTGACGGTGAATTACAAATTAAATCGAGGCATAATTAAAACCATTTTGATTAAAAGGTACATGTAGACGTATTTGTTTCTCCTAAAATCGTCATCAAATACAATGCGTGGACTTATTAATGCGGTAAAGAATTGATAGATAATAGTTTAATCAGTACAAGACGGACGTGTTTTCAGTGTCTTTTATCATATTGTAATTTGTGTTTTGTTAATTTGTTGTCTGTCAAACGAATCAGTAATTTCTGCACAAAATAATTATTACTATATTAATGATATATCCTTTTGATTATTATGATCCATATAAATATTATGATAATGGTATTTGTTTCTAAAGTGAAAAAAATTAGCATTTTCTTCAAGTATTTTTTTAATTCTATTTTTTAAGGTGTTGCCATTGTTGCCTGGCGGTTGATTAATAATCATTGGCCTTCTATTGTGTTCGTTTCTTTTGTACTGTCAATGTCAATGTTGTGCTGTGAATAAAAATGCTGATCAACACATTCAGCAACATAACATACTAAGTTAGTTGCCGAATGAAGTCCTAGACGTTATTATGGTCTGTAGTGAGTGAATAGATTTGATTTACTTTACGCTTTTATCGATCCTTAACAATCACTGTCAGATTAGATCCTTTCTCCATCTGACCTTGTTCATAACATTTTATTTCCATTCAAAATATTCTTGATTTTGACCCAAATTTATAAAATGAATACGTGAATCAGAATTTCAGTCATTTTGAGGATTTGAAATTTTCTAAAAATATGATAAAATTTTGATGAAAATTCCTGTAAATAAGAAGCATAAACATATTAGGAGTTGTCTAATTTAAAATAAAATGTAAAAAACTAAATTTACTCTTACAAAACAGAATTAGTCATTTTATGTATAGACTGTATTAATTACACAAATGTACTGAAATCTGCAGGCATATTAAAATATAGGGATCTTATGCATTCACAGCAGACAGCTGTGTCACCCTGTCATATCGCATAATATAAAACACAAAGAAACAATTCAACTGAAAAAAAATGAGAATTTAACCAGAATTAAAGTCATTTGTTGTTTATACTATTATATTTTCTTGTGTGACTCTGTCTAGCACAGTGATTATTAAATTAAATGTGGAGGAATGACTTCCCAAACACATAGTACTAAACCAACTCTATCAGTGAATCTGTTATTTGTCAGTTTAGGTGCCTAGTTGTAATGCCTGGGACAAAGCTGTTGACTTGTGCATTTTTAAAACATGTAGGTGTAAACTCTTATAATTAAATTAAATATTGCATATACTAAGACAAAAATGTAGCTAGTTTATATATCTAGTAACATATTTCAAAAATATCAATTTTTTTAGCTCCGCTGTCGACTTTGTCGAGCGGAGCTTATCATATGAGTGATTGTCCGTCGTCGTCCGTCTCCGTCGTCCGTGTCAATGTTTTACTTTTTCGACTTCTTCTTGAAAACTACAAGCCTGAATGTTTTGATACTTGGTGTATATGTACCTTGGGTAGACCTCTCTTAGGTTTGTTCATTTCATGATGATATCTTCAATTCTCTAATTTTGGTGAATATTTTTGTCATTTTTGGTAAAAAGTGATATTTTCGACTTCTTGTTAAAAACCGCAAGTGCAATTGCTTTGATATTACATATATAGGTACTACATGTGGACTGCTGTCAGATTTGTTCATTTTGTATTGATATCTTTAATTCTCTAATTTTGGTGAATATTTTTGTCATTTTTGGTAAAAAGTGATATTTTCGACTTCTTGTTAAAAACCGCAGGGCAATTGCTTTTGATATTACATATATAGGTACTACATGTGGACTGCTG